TACTCTAATTGGTGACACAATGATCCTTTGGGTCCCTGGATATCACTGTTAACTTAGATCCTGTCTACAAATCTACTCAAGTGACTTGATATTTCAATTTTCCTAGGGCATGATTATTTTAATAGTCATTGATTCTTTGAAGAAGTACTAAGTGAATCATTATCACATACGCTTAATAAAGGGTTGCAGGTCTCTCTCTCCTGGAGATCTATCTGACTTCCCCTTTAAGCCCTGGGATGTGGACCAGAGAGAATTGACTCAGGTTCCAGAAACTGAGCAAGCCATTTTGACTTTTTATCAGGATAAGTTCTCTTAACCTCCTGATTATCTATCTGTGACTCCTTTGATTGCATACATTGAAAGCATACCTTTGTTGACTGCCTGTGGTACACTGTGTTCTGTTAATCATCTCCTTGGCCCTCTGTGGGTCAGGCCTCCCTCACTATTACTCAGACTAGCCATGACTTGTGACTACCTTGTTTTTGACAGTGAAGTACCAGCACCTGTCCTCTATTATTTTGACATTTTCTTCATTGTTCTCAGGGTTCCCAATTCTACACCAGCATCTTCCACCAACAACCTTAGCCTACAGAGGACAACCACCATTGAGAATTTCATTTATGCTCATGCCCTTCTCATCACTCTGGTAAATGGAGTGTCCAGTGGACCCTTATGTGAAACATTGTTAACAGACAGATTTTCTGCTTTACATAGTATATTCACTCTAGCACACCCACTTCTCTAAACCTTTTGATCTCTTCTTTCAATATGTGCCAGGGAAATTCTAGTATTCTTAGTGTGCACCAAAGCCTTTTCCAAGCTTCTAAGAACCATTCTAGCTACATGTTAGCACTGTCTCCTGGGTCTTTGACAGGGTATTAAGTCCTGCGTCAATGGCGAAAGTTCCATATAAATTCTCCCTTATCTAAATTTATGTTTTGCCCTCATTCCTCCACACCTACCACCTTGATCCAGGACATCTGAGTCAAGATCATACTTTCTCTCCTGGTCCTATTGATAATGTGTTGGCGAGGTGCTGCAGCTCTTTGAGTGTATAGTTCCTTTCTTTTGCTAGTAGACAGACCAAATACTTCCCCAGCCTGTTATGCTGTGTCTTAAACCTAGCTATTGGTCTGGTGGTCAAGAGGGAAAGTGGAGATAGATGGAGGTGTGGGGGGAGGGAGGGATGGAGCTGTGGGAATATATGTCATTTTGCAATCTTGCAAGCAATACGATGTGATAGATTTTAGCATGAAGGAATAGGGTACTTCTGTGGGTTCAGAGGAAGTTGAGGATTCAAGATTTCCAAGGGCATCAACCCAAACAACGTCATTCCAAATCTCAGAGCCCCATTCTTTGCAGTTAAGGCCCTGAACATGGTGAATCAGATTTGCCAGGTTGACAAATTAATTGTCTCTGGATAGAGATACTTAAAATCACATTCTAGGTTTGGTCCTCAGCTATCCTACCCTCAGGCCTTTTGACCCTCTCACTGTGCCCTAAATTTGAGATTAATCACTCTTAGTCCTTCATTGCCTTTCTCTAATGCCTGATAGCATCCAGCCAAAGCCATGCGATTCCATGGTCTCTATATTTACTACTTTCCTAGAACCTCTCAATTGCCTGAGAGAGTACAGCTGCCAGTACATTTTTTGAGTTTCCATTCCAGTTTACCACTGATGAAAATGTAACTTTTGTATTGTTCCAGCATTCCAGGAGTTATCAAAATTCCACCTACTACCAGTAATGGGGTCCTTACTTCCAGCTAGCCAAAGGACAATATAGCTCAAAGATCCCACTTTAAATCTGCTAGGACAATTCTGGTAACAACTGTTTTAGGTCATACTTCCCAGGAAACACACTGTGTAGCAAAGATTTGAATACAGATTTATGGAGAGGGCTCTTAGGAAGAAAACAAAAGCTAGTAAAGGAGGAAGAGGAACAGGGTTAGGCAGAAGAAAATGTTTGAACAGCAATGCAGTTCCAACAAGGACTCATCCAATCCTATGGGAGAGGTTCTGCTTTGGAATGGCCTCTACAGTTGTCCATTCTGTGGATTGGGTTTTATACCCCTGCACTGACCAGCCATGAAATGCAGACTGCTTTTGGAGTGAGGTGTAACTTTCTGCATGGTATCTCCCTCTGGTAGAAGGCAGTTCCTTCAAAAATTCTCAGCTATTAGTGGACAAAAGCCAACATTGTGGATATGCCTTGATACCAAAGGAAAGATGCTTAGGGCCACAGGATCTATCAGAGCAGGTGTTTTTGCCAAACTGTGAGTAGTTAGTAGGGCTCAAGATAAGGTATGAGAGGGAGAGGGGCATATGATAAGGCCAATGGGTAAGCAGTTACCAGATCAGAGCCTTTGTCTTGCAATGGCAGCCTCCAAAGAATAGCAATGCCCAGTGGGTACTTAGACATAAAATCTGGAGTTCAAGAGAAAGATCTCGATATCGAAGAGTTACTTATGTCTGAGACATTGAGCTGAGGGTTATTAGGGAAATCCAGTTACTTGAGTTTGAATTCCAGCTCTATTCATATTACCTCAAGTCCTCTGAATCTTGGTTTTTCTCATCTATAAAACTTTCACAGGGTTGTTAGGAAGAATGAGTGGAATGATTCATACAAAGCACTTAAACAGAGTTCTGAAAACCTGAAACTTTTACATGGCGTACTAAAGCCTTTCCAGCTTTGCTCTCTAGTCAACCAAAGAATTGATCCTGAACTGACAAAACTTCTGTCACTATTTATGCTTTAAAAATATCTATAAGTGTGTGTGCATGGTAGGAGGGAGTTTTATTATGTACTATTTGTCTTTCATAGTTGGAAACACTGAGCTGTGAACTGTTAAGCTCTTTGGTTGAAGTCCCACTGCAGGATGAGTCAGGATAAACAATTCAGATCCTTAAACTCCTCATGCCACTGGGCTCTATAACCAACAAACTCATAACCTACTGGGAAAAGAAAAGGACACTGATGTATCATGTTAATCCTGTAACAGATAAAAGGAACCTCAGGGTCATCTTTCTGAGATGATTGCCCAGGGGTTGGGCCCCAGGTGTTGAGAAGAGCAGACATTATAAGGTTTATTGAGAAGAATGTGACAGGGATGCATTATCAGGTGACAGGGTGATGAGGTGGGTGATAAGATTGCAAGTCTGCTCTGAGGTCAGCCTCAGGTTGAAGGAGGCAAAGTGTGTGACACCCTGGTGGGCGTGAAGAATTTTTAGTGACTTCTCTCTGGAGTGAAGAGATGAGCTGATGAGCTTCCAGTCTAAGACAGCAGCCTCCCTCTCCTGGGTCTAATCAGTTTTTAGGTTTCCTGCCTTCCTATGTCCCCTTTTTTTACATAAATATTTCAAGGGGGGCAGGCAGAGAGGCAGCCCTGGAAATCCCAGCTTTGTTGTGTTTCAAGACAAAGCTACAAATATACATAGATGACAAAGAGTGGGAATCCAAAAGGTACTATGGAGAGAAGGGATAGATGCACTCAAAAGAGATGGATTGGCTGGAGGGAGAAGGAAAGGAGGAGAGACGTGACTGGCAGCAACTATCAGACAGAAAGACTTAATCTGTTTTCTGAGAAAAGAGGAGGCAAGGTGAAAGCAGCGCTTGCTAAATATAAATGTCAGCTGCAAGCCTGAACAACAGAGTAGTGAAAACAGTCCTTGATAAAAAATAAAAAGAAAACACCAAACTCCCCTTTATTGTCATCAGGTTTTCTTTTTAATTATTATTCTAACTTCTCTTTTTGGAGTAGAGGAGGAGAAATTGGTAAATAATGGAAATCAGGGCTTCTTCCTCCACTCTACCTCAAAAGCCAAGAGTTAAACATTTAGGAGAACACAAAGAATCATATGGAGAGTTTGTTGAAAATTCATTTTTGTGGACATATCTACAAAGATTCTAATCTAATAGGTATGCAGTAGCATCCAGGGCAATGTATTTTTAGCAAAGTCCCTAGCGATGCTGATGTGAGAAGTCCAATAATCATACTATGAAAAACATCATTCTACATGGTCAGTGCCCATCTTAATCTTAACCCAACACTCAGGGACATCTAAAGCAAAGAAATATATGTTTACATGGTCAATCCAAATAAATCTGGATAAGAACAGTAATATCAGTAGAAACACATCTTTTTCTTGATGGGTTTCTTCTAAATTAGGAATCTATAGGGGTGTCTAGATGGCTCAGTTAAGTGTCTGACTTTGGCTTAGTTCATGATCTTGTGATCTGTGGGTGTGAGCCCCATGTTGGGCTCTGTGCTGACAGATCAGAGCATGGAGCCTGCTTCAGATTATGTGTCTCCCTCTCTCTCTGACCGTCTCCCCTTGAAAATAAATAAATACTAAAGAAAATCATAAACTAGGAATCTATAAAGGATAGCTCTTTCGAGAACAAAAGGTAGTCTCCCTCTAAGTTAATTCCCATTTCATCTCTAGAAGGTAACTTTTTAAGGCAGAAGCTTTATTCTTACCTTCCAAAATATGAAAAATTTGTCTATACTCTATTACAGGATAGTGTCAGGTCCTAGACCCAGATCACTTTCCTCATTTCCCAAAAGCACCTGGAATTACCAGATCCCTTAACAAAAAGGGTAAACTGTTTTCTCCCCAAATAATGGGGAATGGGAACCTAAAAAGGACAGGATTGTTTCAGCAAGGGTTATTTGTTTTTCTCATAATTTTTCTTTTTCTATTGGGTTTTATTTTTAAATAATAATATTAGGCCAAATTTAATTTCTGTTTTAGTCTGTAACCATCCAGGAAAGCTCTCTCTTCCATTATTTGATGGCTGAAACTAATATTGCATTAGTCGTTTGATAAGGAAAGCTTGATTCAGAGTTGACCTTTTAATAACTCAAGAGAGTTGTAGGAGTTAAGCAATAACAAATGAAAATAGAAATGCCTACTGAGGCACACTACTGAGACTGCGATCTTCAGTTCTGGGAGGTTCTCAGAGAGTACCCATCTATCTTTGTGCATCCAGGTCTTTGAATTGGGACAGGCATTGGAAGGCTCATGTGAAATCATTCCATTTCATATTCAAAAGGGCTCCAGTCCTCTTGATCTTTGTAAGTAGAAGAAACTTTTGTCTTGAATCCAAATCCCCTTCCAAATGCTACACCATTTTCTTTTCTTTTCTTTTTTATAAGCAAACTTCTTTAAAAAATGCCCCTTACTTGCTGTCTCCCCTTATTGCCACCTGTTTAATTGTCAACTCAGTGCAGCCAAATTTTCAACCCACCACTGCTTTGAAACACTTCTTGCTAAGATCACCAATGTTTTAAAAATCTAATAGTGACATCTCTTACATATCTAACTTGACCTCTCAACAACAGTCAATACAGTTACTGTTCCCTTCTCTGATACTATTCTCTCTTGGTTTTCTCCAAGAAATCTCTGTATTCGATTTCTATTTGTTGGCATTTCCTCCTCGGCTTGCCTGGCCTCCTCTAAATGTAGGAATTCTTTGTCCCTCTGCACTTCTCTGTCTCCATTCTCTCAGGTGATCTCATTCAGCTGTATAATTAAAACACCACTATAGCCCAATTAATCTAGAATTTACATCTCCAGTTCTGACCCCTTCTCTGCATTACAACCTAATGTATTCAACTTCCTACACAAACATATTAGATCCAATGAAACTCAAATATATCCCCAAATATGATATTGCATGTCTTCCTGTAGTACAGTATCTCCATTTACCCAGCTGCACAGCCCAAACCCTAGTTGTTATCCTTGATTCTTCCTCCTTTTGTCACTGCTTGTATCCAATCTCCAATGGCACTGCCTCACCTTACTTCAAGCTACCAGCGCCATTCGACAACATTGCTGCCATTATCTCCTGGCCATCACTTTGTTGGGATCCTTGCCTCCCTATAATCAACCCTATACAAAGCATCAGAGTGGTTGTCTTAAAATCACATAATGCTCCCTTGCTTTACACTGGCTTCTGAGTTCCTCCTCATGGTCTCAAGACCTTATGTGATTCTTTCCTTTCCAGAATGCTCTCTTTCTCTTGCTTCAGCCATATTAATCTTTTATTAATTTTCTTTAAAACTCCAAGCTCATTTCCACCATAGGGTTTGCAACCTTGGCTTCCTCTGTCTAGACCAACCTCTCCCTGTCTCCTCATGTGACCAACTAGTTCTCATCATTTGGATCTTGGTTCAATTGTCATTTCCTCCAAGAGGCATTCTGGCCACCCTAGGTAAGATGAACCTTTTATACTCAGATACACTGTCACATCATCCTGTTTTATCTTCTGTGTAGCACATATCATAATCTGAAATCCTGTTCATTTGTTTATGATATCTATCCCCCATGCCCAATAGATGGTAAGCTCCATGACAGCAGTAACAGTGTTTTGGTTAGTGCCTGGCAGATAACAGGGAAATAAAAAATATTGAGTTATAAATTTTATAATGATCATATAAATAGTGTATTAGATTCAAAGCTGTACCATGTTGGCAATGAATGAGCCCTTTAGAATTTCTTTTATTTTTCGTGTTGTACTGGGTCCTATTTGAACCTTATTTAAAACTCAGATTATCTGAAGGACTATCATAAATTACTGGATGGGAAGCTTCTTGGTGTCTGTTTCATTGATTTGCACTAATGGAAAATATCTTTAAAAAGGAAGTGTGTATGAAAATCCAAAGAATTCAGGAGCAGCTATAGAATGGGAGTAATGAGGTGAAAGAGGGAAGACTATTTTTCAGCCAAATCTGAAGCACTAGGGACCAAGTCTATGTGGAAGGGAGTTACCAGAAGAAGCAAACAGAGCTGGTTTGTTTTGTTTTTGTTTGTTTGTTTTGCTTTGCTTTGTTTTTAGAAATGTGATAAAGCAGAAAAATAGAAACAATGTTGATTCAATGCCCAGGTAGCAAAGTGGGACACTGCATTGGGAAAAGGGAATCTCAGCATCTCTTTTCACCTGTGGTGTCCAGTGCAGCATGGAAAACACTGATCTCCATGGCATTTCAAGACTGTGCAGTTTTAGGAGATCTTGGAAACAGTCCTCTGGGTAGAAAGAGTCCTTCCTTCTTGGCTCTGCTTCCTTAGAATTTGCTCTTGTTTTAGACCACCATGCTCACAAATGGCTGTAGCAGAACCAGACACTACATCTTCTCTCATTCATGCCAGGGGGAAGACAGTGAAAGTTCATTGCTGGAGTTCTAGGGAAAAAGTATCACTCTATCTCCTCAACTTTGACCCAGTCAAAGGGGACAGGTTCCCCTGAACTAAGACTGGGAACAGTGAGATGACTGTGGCAAGAGATTTCTTTTTGCTCATTCCTTAGCACTTACTGAGCACCTACCATGTTCCTGACACTCATCTAGGTGCTAAAGATGGCATGGTGAACAGCATTCAAAATCCCGCCAATTATAGTAAAATGCCCAAGATTGCAAAGCCACTTACTTATGGCTCTATCTTGGGTTACCCACTCATTTTTGGAAATGGGAGATATACACAGGGTGACTTTTCCACACTACAACAGAGAGGAAGGACCCATTCAGCTGTCAGTTCTCCTCATTTGTAAGTCTTGCATGATGTGACTTGCCTGCTACAAAAAGCTACACTCACCCAGGGCAACCACAATCTTTCCCCTGAACTCAGAGGCTGTCAGCTGCTGCAACTATTTGCTTTACCCACTATCCAAGAATATGCATGGATGGAAAGGAGACTTCGAGGGCAGAAGCATGGATGATGGGGTTATGGCTTCTTCTAGACACCAGAGAAATTTTGTCTGTGCCCTCCTGACAGAGGAACATTGACTGCATTTTAATATAATGCTATTCTATGCAGATATTTCATTTTCAGGCTGGTGGAAAAGTGAGGCATCAGAAGGGAGAATGCTGATGGGGGTTTGGGTAAAGGAAAGAAAGCTGATAAACATTTCCCCTCTGAGGCAGTATGAAAACACCCACATTAAGGATAAGTAGCTTGCCTTAGAAAAGTCAAAGTCAAAATGAAGTATGAATTATTGATTTTCAGTAAATCAGGAACTAACATTCTACTTTTACCTCTACTCCATGTTCTCGTTTTGGCAATAATTCAACAGTCTCTTTCACATCCAGAAGCTACCCTTCAAATATCACTCGATATTTTCCTTTTATCCTCCCTCCTCATCCTCTCTTTTATTTTCTCTCCTCTTTCATCCCCTTTCCCTCTCCCCTTCTCATTTCTCTCATTCTCTTGCTCCCCTCTTTTTGCTTTAGGATGTATCCTAGCAACAGCTATTTCAATTTAGAGAGGATGGGAAGGGCCACTGGTGTTGCCAAGGTTACCAGTATTTCCTGCTGTCATCGGAGGAAGTAACCTGTGTGTCGGATCACAATGGAATTAGATGCCCTGACACCTATGCTGCCTGTCTCTTGAATACCCAGATAATGAGAGACTCTTCCATATCAAAAAGTTTTACCAAACTGTCTCACAGTGTCATGGATGTTTTCATTTAGTGATAAATTATTCTATAACCTAGATGTTTATAGAAAAGTTTAGGGAAATATAAAATGGTGATAATGACAATAGTTAAAATTTGACTTCATTTTAGAGGGTAGCAATTCTGTTCATTTGTGATATACTGTCAGATTTCCAAAAACAAGATCATAATATTGTTGACCAATAGAGCCCGTACTGTGATAATGACTCAATATCAGATACATAAGCCATTTAAAAATATAATAATCATAGTAATTTGTACCTATATACCATCCTTTAGGTGCTGTATCCACTTAAAACATAAAAATCATTTTAAAAAATTCTCCAAATTAACCACCATCACAAAAAATTAAAAATTCATTCAGCAGGACCTTTTCTATTCATCATAAAATGATCGCCATTAGTATCTAGGAACTATTTCAAAGATTATTTACATCAGGATCACAGCATAAACATGAGGCCCAGAAGACCCAAGACCAACCTCCAGGTGTGGCCCCAGTTCTGAGCTCACATTTGCCAGACCAGTCAGACTAAAATATCTATGGATTTTCTTCGCCATAACACCATATATTGGAATACCCCCTTATAAAACCCTCATACTTCCTTATTTCATTCCCACAATGGCTATGTAAGAAAGCACTTTCCCATTTTACAGATGATCAAACTCCCAGGGAGTTTGAGTGATATAAATGGGCAGAAGACCTGGCACAAGGCCTTCTGATTCATGTTACTGGATAGCACTTTCCTTCCACCAGATGCAGCTGACATAGAACCTATGCATGTCCTCTTCCCCTTGCTTAGCCCTACTGGTTCCTCCTGGAAACATTCCCTGCATAAATCCCTTGCACATGAATCCTCCTCTGGAATCAACTTTGGGTTGGGGAGCCCAACTCTTGCAATTCCTATCAGTGCTTTCTCCATGGCTCCAGCTCTCACCATTCCCTTCCCTTGGCCCTTGGGAGTGGGGAATGATTTCCATTGTTGCTAGCCCCAGGGTGCTTTAACACTCTTGGTGGTTTCCTTAACTCTGCTCACACTCACTCTTGAGTTCTGCAATTGCAGTTTCATGAGGTACTTTACCTGGTTTCTGTTTAATGCAGATACCATACTGTTAAAGCCTCTTAACTGATCTCCCCAAATTCTCTTTCACGATCTTCTCTCCTTCCAATCCATTCTCCATAGACTGGCTGGAGGATATTTTAAATCACCATTAGGTCATATCATTCCCCACTTAAACCCATTAATGGATCCCCACCATGCACAGATAATATTCACATTCCCTCCCATCATATAGGAGCTCTTTCATGCTTCAGTTGATATCTTCAGCCACAACTCTGACCACTTCCTTCCTAATCTACTTACACTGCAGTGATACCAAACTACATGTAATTCCCAACACAGACCAGGGCTGCATCTTACCTCTGTGCTTTGGTTCAACTCATGCTGCCCTCAAAGTGTAGCATGCTCTCTCCTCTTCTAAACATCACTAATTGATTCCCTAGTTCAAGTCGGTGTCATCTCTCCAGGAAGACTGTCGTTGTTGCAAGATAGAGATGATTCATTTATTAATTTTTATGCTATCAATTTCAGCTGGACTCAGAATAGAAAGTATGTTGAATGAATGATCTTTCAAGGAGTGAAAATAGCTACTACTGCACCACAACACCTTTGCTAACCTTCATTTATCATTGGAGATATCTTTGAAAAGCAACCCAGTAAGTTAATAATTGCCATTTACTTGTGCCAACTCTGTACCACTTAATGTATGATATTATTATTTAATCTTCACAACAAATATAAGATATTTTTTTAAGTTGAGAACAATAAAGCTCAGAAAGATAAGAAATGTCTCTTAGGTCACACAGCTAAGGATGGACTTGGGATTTGAATCCTTCTTCGTCTATCTTCATTCCCAGGACTGTGCTCTCTCCTTTACAGAGAGGCATCCATGTCATAATGTAAAGTAGAATCACACCTATGACCCCACATGGGCAAAGCCATCACTCCACTTCTATTTGCAGCATCCAAGTCACCATGAAGAAGAGGGACACTCATTGGTTTCATATATTCATGAACAGTGGCAAAATCAATACTGTATATGTGCACCTATTTCTAGCCATTTTAGATGGCATTTTATTTGGTGCCATTTCATCTAAAGAGATGGTGGAACTAGATATAGTCAGATATTTACACAGGAAAAATAAATCCTTACTATATACTATACACAATAAAAAAAATGCATGGAACATTACTTCCCTGCAAGAGCTACTACTACAGCCTGCATTCCCACGAATGTATTTCACTGTTCTCTTTAAGACTCAGCAAGGCCATGATCACATGCTGATCACACACACAGAGTCAGATTCAGACAATTAAAGTCATGATTTGCTTTTGCTCCCATCAAAACTTGATAACTAAATGGTAGCAGTAGTTAATGTAGCATTTTATAAGCAACAGTGAATTACCCATAGTTAGTGACTAATAATAAATTAGTATGGTTATACTCAACACCAACAAAAAATGTCTATAGATGGGAGCTCATGTCACAAGCATGAAAAAGAGAAAGTTGGAATCAGGTTACATAAAATCACAGAACAGGCAACTTGAAAAAACAGACCTGTTTCCTTTTGACTTCTGCCTAACTCAGAAGCTCCTTGACCACTGCACAATGTGGCCACCACAATGGCAAGATGGCTCTTCTCTGCCTTCTCTTTCCCCACAATGAAGGGACCAACTTGTACAGGTACTGCCTAGGACTTTACTGGTTTTAGTATAGAAAATTCTGTATTTACTACTTAAATTCAGCTTCCAGTTATGGTAACTGTGGTAGGCAGACTAATGGCCTCCCAAAGATGTCTGAATCCTCTTCCCTGAGATCTGTGAATATGTTACCTTACATGGCAAAGGGACTTTTACAAATATGAGTCAGAATCCTGAGGTGAAAAGATTATCTTGGTTTATCCAGGTGGGCCCTACCTAATCATATTGGTCCTTAAAATCAGAGACCTTTTTTTGGTTATAGTCAGAGACACATGTGACTACAGAAGAATGGTCCCAGAAATGCATCACTGCTGGCTTTTTGAAGACAGAGGAAGAGGGCTTTGAGAAACTGGAACAAGCAATGAAATGGATTCTTATCATGTCTTCAGAAACAAACAGCCCTGCTATACTTAGATTTTAGCCCAGTGAGACCCACACTGGAATTTTGATCTATAGAACTGCAAAGAGAATAAATGTGTTGTTTGAAGCTGTAAGTCTTTGGTAATTTGTTATGGTAGCAATAAAACAACTAATACGGTAACCACCTCATCCTGGTTGGCCCAGGACTGTTCTAGTTTTAAAACTAGAAATCCCACATCCTGGAATTCCTTCAGTCCTGGACAAACCAGGACTGTTGTTCACTCTACCCCCACCCATTTCTCACTCCCAATGCTGGGCTATAGAATTCTCCACTGATACTTAGTTACCCTCCAATGAAATTACTTGGCATCTCAAAAGATGCCCTAAAGCAAAATTTCTCAACCATTAGTGTGAATCAGAACCACCTGGAGGGCTTGTTAAACCAGACTGTTGGGCCTACCCCCAGAGGTTCTGATTCAGTAAATCAAGAATGAACTCTGAGAATTTGAATTTCTAACATCTCCTCAGGACATAATGATGTCCTTCTGAGGACTATACTTTTAAACCACTGTCCTAAGAGACAAAAACTTGTGGGGCAATCACAAATAGAGTTTCATCTGCCCATGTGCAAGGCATAGATAAAAATGAGATGGGTTTGTGGGCAGGTATCAACTATTAGAGCTGATCAAACACACAACTCTGAATCTTCTTGATCTGATAGAGCACATGTGAAACACTTCCATTTCTGTCTCTGATAAACTTTAGCCCCTGGGCAAGGGACCTACTACTTTGACTCTCTGAATTGGAATTAAACTATGTAAAGCTCCTGGCATGGTGTCTGTCATATGACATTTGCTCAATACACGAGTGCCACATAAAAAGCCAGTCCCTTCCAAAATATCACTCACACAGTTCACACACCTAATGAGAATGTGGAATGGGGAGGTGGGTGTTTGCCATTGAACTTTGGTGTGAAGATCTGAAGTCTTGGTTATACTGTTCAAATTCAGCAATATTCCCACTGCAAATTCAAAAATATTGATATCCAGGGTTCTCCTATTTTTCATTCATCCAAAAACATGTTTGAAGCACCTCTTATGTACAAATCACCAAGTTAAATGCTGTAGTCCCTTCTAAGTGTAGGTTTCATCAATTATTCAACAAATATGTATTAAGGGCCTACATAGTATACCAGACACTATTGTAGGTGCTGGCATTACAATGGGCAAGACGACAGAAAAGATTTCTGCTTCCAAAGAACTCATGTTTTAGGGAAGTCAAACAGCATACAGAAGGAGAGGAGAAAAGAGGGGAATGAAAATGTCAGTGGTCTCAGGTACTATGACAAAATAAAACTGGCCAGGGTTTGCCTTATAATGAAAAGGTAGTTCTGGATGTCCTCTATAAGAAGGTGACATTTGAGCTGAGATCTGAATAACTGGGAAAATCATTGCAATCAGAGGAACAGCTAGTATTACCTAAGAAGGAAGTTACCATACAAGATGTGGCCAAAAGAAGATCAATGTGGATGGATCATACACAAAGCGGAGAGACAGGAGATGGAAGGATTCTGTGATTCTATGATGCTGTAGATCCTGGGCTGTCATGGATTATCTTTGGCAGTAGGAAGCTTTATTAGGTAGAAAAAAACCCTGATTTTAAGGTATAAATTCCATACCTGGTTAGTTTCTTATGTATGTTATTCTGATGGCTAATCTGGTTTTGGCTTGTAGGAGGCATATGTTATTGTCAGTCAAACATCTATTTTCCCTCTTTTTCTAGAAGAGGAAACAGTTCTTCTATTCCCACAGTCTGGTTGGTTGGGGTAAGAGTCCAATCAGAGTGTTACCCTAGCCACAGGGATGTAAA